TAAGGTATTGCAATTCCACGCTTCATCACATCAGGCCTGCAACGGGTTTTTGTTTGGGACTATATTTAGTTAATCATTGCCGGCTTAGGTGGACATTGAAGTGTGGGCCCACATTTATTAATATAGGGTTTGTGAAACTAAAGACTGAAATATTTGCATTTTGTGAATCTATAATTGTTTAATATATGTTCAAAAGTTCAAATCTCATAAAGGTGTGTGTGTGTTTGATTTTTATATGATAGTATGTGAAGTTTATTATCCTTAATCAGTGCTACATAAAAGTACTGGAATGTTGTTACTTTAAGGTGAGTGAAACTCAACATAGGTTTTAAACACGAGAGTGTATTAAGTTATTATTCCTAAGTTACTGGGTTTAACGAACTCAGGGGCCCGTACCTACTTTAGAACGGTATAACTGGGCTACATAAAATGGAGGCACCGCTGGGATCATTTGTTTGAGTTTCTAGATATATTAGTTCAAAGTACTTTTCTGATTGTTATTGTTAATAGACAAGTAAGAGAAAATGCAGCAAACTGAGGTTATCGTAAATAAGCTTAAGAGCTGGTGCCAAGGGGAAGGCATAAATGAGAGCCATGCATTGTTGACAAAAGTTCCCCAAAATACAGAAGTTGCACAAATAGAAGAGACATTGCAGACTATAAAGTGTCTTGGGCGTGTCCGTGTAAGGGGAAGAATGTTGGACGAATCAACAGATCAAATATTAGGGCTTTGTGAGTGCAGGGAGAAACTTAATTCAGACATGCCAAATGAGGTGTTGACTTTAGATGAGTCTACAGTATGGCCTATATTCATTACTGCAGAATCTTCAAGTGCAGATGAAGATTTTAGTGTCAAACTAAATACTCTTTTACAAGCAGAAGGGAAGACTGCAAAGGATGTGCATGCTCTTCTAGCTGGGTCAGAACCCGTTCCCTCACCCACAGAGTCCCTCATTCGTGCTGTGAGTGATCTACTGGACAAAGCAGCTAAACCTGCAACAGAGACTGGAGGATTTCGCCGCCTGCGCACTTTCTCCGGCATAGTGCCTACTCCTGCAGGTGAGGAACAATTTGATCATTGGCTGGAGCAAGCTTACATGATGGTGGAAGTGAGTGAATGTTCGCCAAAAGAAAAACGACGAAGGATAATGGAGAGCCTAAAGGGTCCTGCATTAGAAGTCATCAAAGCAGTTTGCCTTTCTGATCCAGATGTCAGTCCTGAGGAGTGTCTAGAAGCTCTTGATAGTGCATTCGGGATGGCAGAGTCAGGAGATGATTTATACTTTGCTTTTAGACTGATGCAGCAACAGTCTGGGGAGAAGTTGTCAGATTTCCTCCGAAGACTAGAGCGCTGTTTGTCGAAAGTAGTTCAAAGAGATGGCCTTCCTGCCTCAAACATGAACAAAGCTCGGATTGAACAACTGCTTAAAGGCGCAGTGGGCTCAGACCTAATGCTAATTCAGCTCAGGTTGAGAGAGAGAAAAGAGAACCCTCCAACTTTTCTTGAGCTATTGCGTGAAATTCGTGCTGAAGAGGAGTATGAAGCATCTAGAGCTAAGTTAAATCCATCAGTACGTGCAGTCCAACCCAAACCTCAGGTGGACCATAATCATTCTGAAATTCAGAGTCTGAGGGCTGAGATAAAAGAAGTAAAGTCAATGTTCACTGCACTTTCTTCACAACCCCCCCAAGATACTACAGAAAAGCATGACAAAGGTTCAACTGACAGAGAGAGAGACTTAAAGAGCCAAGTCTGGACGCTGAAGTTGTGGCTTTAAAGAAACAAGTTAAACAGCTGCAGCAAAAAGTCAAATCCAGAGTGTCACATCGGGCTGAAACGCCACCAGCTGTCATGGCAGTGCACACTCCAAATAGACGTTCTGATGCGGATGAACGTTTTTGCTACCGCTGTGGAGAAAGTGGACACCTGGTAAGTAAATGCAGAAGTCCTGAAAATCAAAATAAAGTCATCCAGAGGCTTATTCAAGCACTCAAAAAAGCTAAAGCCACAAATGCACAATCTCCTACTGATGAAAGCATTGAGCAGAGTGCTACAGTGAGAAAGAGTGCCGTGGTTAACCTACAACCTGTTGGGCTGCCAGAAGGACTAATAGGGCCACCGTCCTTGGAACCTTTAAAAATTAATGGACAGCTATGTGATGCCCTACTAGACAGCGGTTCCCGGGTGAGCATCATCTTTGAATCCTGGTATAGGAAGTACCTGTCTGACACACCCATTCACCCTGTCAGTAAACTAGACATATGGGGTTTGAGTGATTCCAGCTACCCATATCTCGGCTATGTAATAGTAGATATGGAGTTTCCCAAGAAAGTGACTGGAGCTCCAGCTACTTTGTCAGTCCTAGCCCTGATTTGTCCGGATCCACCTGGTCCAGACCAAACCCCTGTCATCATTGGCACCAATGCAAAAGCCAATCTTCCAAAACGCTTGGCTCAGTTGTGTGAGGAAACACCTGAGATACATGTTCAGACATTAGGAATACACAGTCTTCTGTCAGGAGGTGCAGAAAGAAATTTGGATTTAAAAGAAGAGAATGAAGAGATTGGATATATAAAGTGGGAAGGTCCTGGAGACCTGACATTTCCTGCTGGGAGTACATGTAAAGCATCTTGCAGAGTGGATGTGGAGAAGCCTCTTCCTGATGACATCTTGGTGGTGGAGTCTTCAACTGTAAATCCCCTTCCTGCTGGAGTCTTGCTTCAAGCCATGGTTATTCCAAGTAATGCTGTGGATGTGAACCAGCTGACCTTATTGTTCCAGAATGAATCCTTGCGAGACATAACAGTTACAGCTGGCACTGTTGTGGGATGTCTGTGCGTTACTGATGTTGTCACAACAGTTTCCAAACAAAACACTGTAAATTCAGGATTTGATACAGGTCTGATAAATTTTGGAGAGTCACCTGTTCCAGAACAATGGAAGCAAAGACTTTGTCAGAAGCTATCTGACCGAGCATCTGTCTTTTCTTTGGACGAGCTGGATGTGGGACTCGCTAAAGAGGTGGAGCACACAATTAGACTGTCAGATCCCCGTCCATTTCGAGAGCGATCCAGACGCATTGCTCCTGCAGATATTAATGATGTACGCTGTCATATACAGAAACTGCTAGCTGCAGGCATCATTAAAGAGTCTAAAAGCCCATATGCATCTCCCATTGTGATCGTGAGAAAAAAGAATGGAGATGTGAGAATGTGTGTTGATTCTCGGACACTTAACAGTCGAACTGTGCCCGATCAATATACCACACCCCGAATTGATGAAGCTCTTGACTGCCTCTCTGGTAGTCAGTGGTTTTCCGTCTTAGACTTGAGGAGTGGCTATTATCAGATAGCTATGAAAGAAGAAGACAAAGAGAAACTATGTCTAAGAGACGCAACAATGATCATTCAATACAAGTTTCACAAGTTTCACATGAGGAGTCAACTGAGTCATCAGACTTTGAGTGGGAGTTACCACACCGACCATACCGAACTTATCTGGAGGGAATACTCCAAAAACACAACAATAGACGTGAACACAAAGGGCCTAAGGTTCATATTGCAAGAGACGAGGAACCCTCACAAGAAGCAGACCATATTGTGGAGACGTTAAACCATGATGACACAGCATCAGAGTCAGAACATGAACCTGTATCTAGTGAAGATGACAGGCCATGTCCAAGTAGTTCTAACAGCAGAATGAGTCATGCACATTCAAGACCAAAACGTACCATTAAACCAGTAGTGAGACTTACTTATGATGAACCTGGTAAAGCTAGTGATCAACCCCTCACTATTGTTCATAGAGGTGTTGTCATTAAAATACAGAGCTAAAATGTTGACTACAACCACCCTTCCCAATTTTGAGTTAAGCAGGTGTTCATAAAGTCTGTTGAGGACACCAGACGTTTAGAGGGGGGAGGGTGTAACCCAGTCCAAAATAAAGGTATTTTGTATTGAGTTAAGTTCATGGAAGGTGTAATAATTTAAAATGTATTAAACATGTTTGCTTAAATATGTTAAAATTGTTATGAATAAGTGTTAACAAAAAGCTGTACTTACAGGTACTTTAAGTAATATGGTTAAGTTAAAAGAATTTGGAAAAATGTAGTTAAAACTGTTTCATAGAAAAGTAATCTTCAACATATTTTATTTTGAAGGGCTCATGTTTGAAAGAGGAAGTTGTGTAGAGCAAAGCAACTTTTCTGGTTCGTGGTTGGCTGAGGATCAGGAAGGGATAGGAGAGTAGCGGGAGACACAGAAAAAAGGAGAGAAGAAGAAAGAAAAAAAGAGAGATTAACCGCGCTGAAAAAACGTGGCGGATTGATTAATGAACGAGTGTCTTGCAGATATTTAGACTTTCAACTCGACAGTCTTTAATAGATATCGACTCTACACTCTTTGTTTGCAGCTAC